TTATGAACTTAAGAAAGATAGTCTTTTATTGATAGCAATTGAGCAAGTATTTCTACTAAATATTGAGAGATAGAGAAGCTAAAGATAGGACATGTTGTGGTATACGTAAGCTTATGCATACCACAACAGTACAAGACAGAGACAGAGACAGAAACAGAAGGATGCAGAGAGATGATCTATGCGTTGAGAGATGCAGACAGTGAGAACACCGGAGTACTAGTTATGACTGGGATACAGGCAGGGTTATCCTTAGACACAACAGTGCAATTTTCTTAACAAAATTAAAAAGGAAATTGCCCATCTAAAAAGGAATAGTTTGTTTTATACTTCTAAAAAATGATTTTGTTAAAAGGGCACCTTTTCCAAAAATTTTGTAAGCCCAATTTGAGCTTTACAAATTGTCTTCAGCCAATAATTGAAGATTATTTTTAACTGCTAAACTAACAATATATTCAAAGGAAGATGTAGAAGTAAAATATGTTAAAAGATATACTTTTAACAATGTAGATATATTATATTAATATGACTTCTTTTATGTCATTCTTTAAAAATTATATATTTGAATTATATATATTATGCACTCTATTACTAATTCTGCAATTAGCAATATAGTTTATGCCAATTGATTGACCAAGCATTACCAGACTATCAACTTAATCATTAATACAAGTTAATGTTCATTAGCTTAGCTGCATTCTATTTTCCGACCGTGACGTGGACCTCATCATAGAAATGAAACTTCAGAAAATTGGTAAAACATTTCTGTCCATATTAGTACATTGGAAAAAAGATTGATAAAACAAAATTACACAAACCTCCCTAATAAAGAAGTATGTTGCCAAAAAAAAAGCCACTAATATAATAATGACAAACATTGAAAAAGAGGAAAGGAGCAGAAAAGAAAAAAGAAAAACATGTAAATTTTTTTCTGCATTTGAAACAAAATACTGAAAAGCTTATTCAATAAACAATAGCAAAAAAAAACTGAAAAGAGATGATCAATTGAGACCAAAAAATGTATCAAGGCCAATTTACATCTCAGTGTTTCAAGAAGTTATCTTTGAAGTGTTCCTGAACCATCACTACCACCTATAAATACTTAATATATATATTTGCAATTCAATGTCACTCACTCTTGATTATATCATCTCAACAAATCTATGTTGCGAATTTACTGTAATTTACATAACAAAATAGATGCATTATTTCTTACAAAAAAGAACTAATATTAACAATTGAAAATATTATAATGTATTACAGATAATGTCTACCCCCAACCGCAGACTCGCTCCTTCTCTTGCTAGCACTGATGTCCAGTTTTTACAAGCTTTGAATGCAATAAAAGAAAAGATGAAGGCCATGAAGAATAATATCACATTGATGGATACAAGAATTAGTGTAGTGATCACCAGTAACGCAACTACCATCAATGACATTGATGTCCACTGCAAAAACAGATCAATTTCGCATATGTAAAGTATACCTAAGTTCTGATAGACAGAATAGGTAAAATTGTAGTTCAGCTCACTTTTGTGAGTAAAGTATTTGAATAGTATTTTAAGCTACTCTATTAGCTACTGGCAGCTGTGTAGCATTAGAATGCAACATCAAACTCAAATAAAATAAAAGTGTGTTTTCTTTGAAGTCTCTTTCTTTACTATTAAATACTATTGTAAACCTTTCTTTTCATTTTAAAATGGCTCCTATTCGCAAACCAACTGTTAGAAAAGAGTGTCGATGCTCTATCTGTAAAAGCAAGACACTAGGATTCGATTGTGTATCTGTTAAAACATTTAAACGTCATCAAGAAAAAGATAATCATGATATTACACATGTTCAAACGCGTACGGTTAATACATTTGCTTTACTTTACTTTATTTTATTTTATTTTATATCATTTCCTTTTTTATTATTTTATATAATAATAATAATAATAATAATACTAACACTAATAATAATAAATGTGTAGCCCATGAAGACACATGCGATACAATTAGTAGTGCTGTTTCTGAGCCTGTAAATCAAGAGGAAGATAGTTTTGAATTTGAACAGGAAGATGTTGAAATGAATTCTGAGCTTAGAAGTAAGAAAACTTATTTTATTACATTAATTTATTTGGGTCTAACATTCCGCTTTTGTAGACCTAAATGACACAAATGACATTTTGGATATACAGACAAGAAACCAACCTTTCTCTGAAACGGATTGCGTGTTTGGCCCTGAAGATAATGTCCAGTATACAAGTGACACTTATGAAGAAGAATATGAAGATGAATTCGATGTTGAGATGGACAATGATGAAGGTAGGTACACAGCTTTAGATAATAGTATATCCTAGAAAATAGAGAGTTAATCAACGTTCTTTAAAAAAAATCAAATTAAAGATTCTTTGTTGGAATCAATCTCAGAATTGAATTTGATTCACCAATTCATTGTTATTTCGGTTGCTCTTTTTGTCTCGCTATACATCGTAGATGAAGGTGCTGTAATCCTGATTGCCATAATCAACAAGATACTGCAGTTTTTGTTTGACCCATTCCGCCTTCCAGTGAGTGTTGCTGGCCTCAAACGTTTGGCCGGATTTGAAGTGTTGACAAGTGGTGTCAAGAAGTATGTTGCATGTAGCGAATGCCATGCCATATATGATAATGAAGCCGCCCCTTTGTGTTGTACATCACCCAATTTTGGTAAAACCTCCTTGTGTGGCAACAGCTTGTTTAAGTCTGGTCCCGGGTCAAAAGCACCCAAAAAGACATATGTATTCCACTCCGTCAAGAAAGCCCTAAAGACGTTTTTTCAACGCCTGGATTTTGAAAACAACATCAACTCATGGAACCGCGGCCCGAAAATGGATAGCACTTTGTTTGACGTGTACGATGGTGCGATGTGGAATGAGATAGTAGACGTAGATGGTATACCTTTTGTTGATACCGAGCAATCACTCATGCTCACGCTGAACATTGACTGGTTTCAGCCATTCGATGGTGTTACCTACTCCTGTGGTGCCATATATCTTGCAATCAATAATCTTCCACGCAGTGAGCGGTTCAAGAAGGAGAACGTGATTCTTGTTGGGTTAATGCCAGGGCCTAAAGAAGCAAGCACTTCTGACATAAATAACTATCTGAAACCGCTTGTGGATGAGTTGATGGAGCTGTACAAAGGTATTAAGATTAAGACTCACCAATGTCCAAATGGTACTTCTATCCGAGCAGCCCTTCTCATGGTTGCCTGTGATATACCTGCTGCAAGGAAAGTATGTGGGTTCACATCCCATACAAGTACAAATGCATGCCACAAGTGTAAGCGTCAATTTTCGAGGTTGGCTGGAACGAGTTCCATTGATTATTCTGGATTTGATTTCTCAAAGTGGCTCCTTCGCACTAAGAATGACAATCGTAAGGATGCAGAGATCTGGAGAAATGCAACCAAACCAACTGAGAGACAGCGTCTTGAAGTTGCACATGGTGTTCGTTGGTCCGAACTGCATCGTCTTCAGTACTTTGACATTGTCCGCTGCACGATCATCGATTCCATGCACAATCTTTTCTTAGGCACTGCCAAAAGAATGCTGGAGAGATGGGTTGCGGATGGATTAATCGATGATAAAAAACTCATTGCCATGCAAAAGGCTGTTGAGAAGGTAGTGTTGCCGCCCAATTACACATCACTTGGGACAAAGATTGCCAAGGGATTTCCCTATATGCAGGCTGATGAGTGGAAGTCTTGGTGCCTTGTGTACTCTCCTGTGGTTCTAAGGGATGTGTTGCCGTTGCCAGAGTTCAAGAACTGGATAGAGTTTGTTAACGCATGCAGATACTTCACCAAGCCTAGTGTTTCTGAAGAAGACATTGAGAAAGGACACAAATGCTTAGAAGAATTCTGTAAAGGGTGTGAGACATTGTACGACCTGGACCTTCTCTCTCCCAACATGCACCTGCATCTGCACTTACGCCAAACAATGATTGACTTTGGGCCCGTCTATGGCTATTGGCTTTTCAGCTTTGAAAGGTACAATAGTGTCCTGAAAAATATCAAGACCAATCGAAGAAACGGGTTCGAATCGACATTTATGAGACAGTTTATTGAAGAGTCGTGGAAGGGAGATTTTGTGCATCGACTTCTGAAACCTATGCATGCACTTGCATGTTTTGAAATTTTCGATAAGTTCACCACCAACAACAACAACACCAACACCAACACCAACACTAACATCTACCTCTCTCACTCTTTCTCAATTTCCGAATATCTTGAAGCTTCACAGAATCTTTCAATGATAATTCGTGGAAACGAGCCCCTGCCACCATCCGCCTTGCCATTGAAAACAAGACCATTATCATTTATACCAAAACATGAATATGATTGTCTTGTAGGATACTATCAAGCTGCGTACAAGAATCCACAGATCTCAGGTTGCAAAGATGTAATTGATGACTCACCTTTCGTCAATGACTGGATCGAAATGGTGAAGTCCATTGATCTTCTTGGGCAAAGCTACAAAGGGTGCATTGGCACGAATGGCCGCGGATCATACATACAAGCATATTTCACTGAACGAACTGGGTCGGAACATGCGTATGTTGGAGAGATTCAGTACCTTTTTGTTCACAATTTTAGGCCAACTGTTTCTTCTCTAACATACAGAAATCCCCATAGTAGTCAGCATGTATTTGCATTTGTCAAATGGTTCAAATCCACTTCGGACAAAACAAGAGAATTAGAAGGAGTTGAGTTGTTACAGGATGAATTCTACAAGCAAGATTTTCAAAGCATCCTGCCAGTACATCGGATTCTCCTAACAGTTGCAATAGTAGATTACAAAACTACAAAAAATGTCAACAAAAAACTCGCGATTCCTTTACCAAAAAAAATTTACTATTAATTCTCATACACACACTTACTTATATATTTATCCTCTATTATTATTATTTCCTTTAATCAATTCAATTTCAATTATTACTATTTGGCCCTACAACAGAACATAGTAAAAAAGAAAATGTTTATTCATCGTTGATTGCCCAATGAGGCAATGACTGGGACAGAGTGGCAGGAACAGAGCAAGGCAACAATGTTGCTGGATATCTGTTCATTCTTGACTTTGTTCCCACGCCCACATTTAACACGTGATGGGTACGATCAATGTCATCAACCATTGTCAACAATCTGTTGAACTGTATTTATTTTTATTAGTTCTTTATTTTTCTTGTTATAAAACTTATTTATTTATTCTAAATATTATTTACCTCTTCACTTCTCCAAGTGGGGTGAGCCACATGCAAACACCGTCGTGGAAGATTGTCCACAATCTCAATATCCGACTCACCATCAGACATGGCATCCTTCTGAAAGAGTTTGAGATAGGCCTTCTCAACAGGGTTTCCAGTCTTATATCCCATTGCAGCATCAATGGCTACCCAGTTGTCCATGTATGTCGACTTGCGTCGGATAGACATCTGGTTATATAGATTGTAGCTTGAGAAAATAGTAATATACCAATTAATTTTTTATATAGTATATACAAACCTGAAGAGTACTACTGTTTGCTCTCCCCTTGCTGTTTTTCTTGGCCTTCTGCTCAGGAGACTCGTGAAAAGTACAATGACTGTGCTTGTACCTGTTCTTTATTTTATCACTTATCACCCATGGGTGAGTACCAGCTAGACGAGTCTGGGCACTAATGTAGCTCTTCAAGTAGTTGATAACAGCTACGTTATCGCGGTGGTTAATCTTCTCGTTCAAGTTCCACTTCTTCTTACTCTCGTTCTCAGCAACAAGAGCAGGGTCGTCAGACTCGAACTTCCAGTCCCACAACTTTTCCGCGAATATTTCCTAAATACAGGTTGTTTAATAAGTTGTTGATACTAACATATATTAATATTAATTACCAAGATAATGTCAGAAATCTCGGCATCACTGAGGGAGGTCTGGGGGACATAGGATGGCATCAGAGATGGTCCTAGACTAGCCATACAAGTCTGATTGTTGGCATAGACAGTTGCAAAGTCTGCAAATGCCATATGTGTCTTTCCAGACGTGTCAACAACAATGCCCATCCTGTTTTTAAAGGCTGCCATGTTGCTATTGACAGCAGCAATGTCATCCTTGACACCGTTGATATTGTTGTTTACTTTGTTAAACATTTCAACAATTTCCGCGTATCGCTGATCTTGGATAGTTGTGGATGAGAAACTGAGGGCAATTTCTCGAGGTCCAACACGGCCAGCCAAAACACGGTTTGCCGATGTAGATATACTTGCAGATGCTTTTCCTTTTCCTTTACGGTCTGTTTTTCTGCTGCTATTGGAAGGCATTTTTTCTTTATTGTATTTTTATTAAAGTTTTATATATTAATAAATTATTAAAATAAAATAAATGTATGGGTTGAAATATATTTATTTTTGTTTAATCAAAGATATACATACAAAATAAGTTAATATAAAGTAGATTTATGAAATAGCTGAGAAAAGGAAGGGATTATATATTATTTTCTATAAAATCCTTTATAACCTTGAACAACTTCTTTAATATTCAACATAGAACTTAGTGTTACAATATAATTTCGGACTATTCATTTTACTACTATTGTATTTTACTAGAGTCAATTCTCATCTAAACTGCCTTCTGTTTGAAAGCCCACTTTTTTTTCTTCTTTTTCTTTATTTTTTTCTTATTTCTTTTTTTCCTGTTTCTTTTCGGCTTTATTTACTTTTATTCTGGTTGATGTATTTGAGTTCACACCCTGGTAAGCAATTTGTTTTTATTATTCTACTGTTATATTTATTCTTAATGTTTTTTCTTTTATTATTATTGTGGTTGCTGATAGTATTACAAGTCTTTGCCATGTTGATTAATGGACAAGAACAAAAAGGTAAAACGCGGTTATTGTGTATGTGCTTCTTTATTAATTATTTTCTTTTTCTCTCCTCAGCTCATCATAAAGACATACCAACAGCAGAAATTTATCCGGTAAGTCTGAATAATGTATTTATTTGTTTTATTCTTATATCTAATTTTGTTTATTTTCTATCTCTGTTAGTACTGCCAACATTTCTATGTACCTGATTGAATGGCTTGTCTTTGAAAACCGGTTTTCTTTGGTAAGTAATAAAGCCAAACTTTATTCCATGATCTTTACTAATGCGTTTTATTAAACCTTTCAGAACAACAGTCAATGTGCACTATGCCTGGTTCTGATGAAAGTACTGGTAAGTAACCATATTATTTAAATTAAAGAAAAATAAATATTTATATAATCTAATATAATTGAATAATTTTTTAGCCTTCTCTTACTAGTGAAATACCGTAAACACGCGTTTCTTTTTAGGATTCTATCGTATTGGAAGTATTTATATATTATAATATATGAAAGGGTTTGTTATTATATTAATTATGTAGTAGCTTATATATTAGATTAGACTATATATTGTCAAGCCGTACATATTATAAGCAAGAAGCTTTTTTTTTTAAATAAAAACAATTTTTCCAAAACAATCCCTATAAAAATATTTGAAATGAAGTGCAAGAAGTATTGCAGTAGTATGACATGTGTGAATCCTATAGTTTAGCCGTGCATAATTGTCCAATAAAAGTGTTTAGATTCGGAAGACAGTATACATAAATCCTGTTTCTTCTGTTAAATGATCCAATAGAATATCATTATTTCAGTAGACAGTTTTCTCTGTAAAGTAATCCAATAGAATTCTACTATTTCAGTAGACAGTTTTCTATCAAAAATAGATTTTTTATTGGAATCTCTGTTTCAAATCAAGTTTAATTTAATGTAACATCCAAAAAAAAAAGATGCCATAATTTGATTATTCTCTCTGCGATTAAATAGTTTAAAAGAACCTTACATCTCTATATGGATCATTATAAGTTCAGAAGTTATATGGACAACTCACAGGTAACATAACATATTGCGAACAGAATCTATAAATGTCAAATTCCAGAATTTAATTATTCTGTCACTCAGAATTTCCCATACTATCGCATATGTGTAGAAATCTAATTCCCCAGTGCTGTCTGCTGCTGTCTTCGTTCGAGTAGGAATTCATGGCATGAGAAAGAGATTGGAAGGTTCTCATTTCTGCTGCCACTCTAGCGATATGATCCTGGCTATCATATTCTACTCTGGTGTCCATGTCTTTGTCGTCAGTGGTCTCATCATAGTCATCTGATGAATCACTGTTCAGCAAAAAAAAACAGGTTATTATCTATTTCAATATTGCATTACTAATTCTTATTTACAATAGAATGTGATCATCACTAAATTCGTTTTTGTCAGAGATTTCATGGCCATATGTGTCCTGAGGGTTTTCAATAATAAATTCCATTGGGGCAGGTCCATTATTACTGTTCAGGTTGGTAGTGGCAGTGGCAGTGGTAGTGGCAGTGGCAGTGGTAGTGGCAGTGGCAGTGCTTGCAGAAGAAGAAAGACCATCAAACATAGCAGGTCTAATGTTAAGGTATACTCAATTTCAGCTTTACATTACATAGTATTTTTCATCCTACTTTTAGGATTAACTTACCTTCTTTTTAGAAGTTTCTCATACTCCCCCGTTTCGTTTGGATGTTTTTTTGTATAATGTCTTCTGAGGCCTTGCAAGGACCCTAACACTCTTTTGGTTTCGCAGATAGTGCACACAAATGTTTGGTTGTCTGTAGCTGTCAGTGTGAGGAATGTGTTCCTCTTTGTTGTGAAGTGATTTTCCATGTTTAAAAATCTTTGGAACGAAAGATGTAGAAAAACGTAAACTAATTTGAGGTACCGTATCTTTAATCATGCAAAAAAAGACTGCAAAAAAATCATGTAAAATAATGTGAGCTAATTTTTTTTTGTTTACTTGTTTCCTTTTTTTTCTTTTTTTTTTCTCATGACTGAAAGGTAAGTTTCAAGCGTAATCTAACAAGATGATAGCGTTCATCATACCAAACACCCTCAGTAAGTAATATATTTATTATGTCCTACTTCATATTGATACTAATATATATTTTTTATTAGATTCTATGGAGATTCCAACATGAGATTGTATTAGAAAGTTACTTCAAACTATGCCAAGCTGTCTATTGTGGTATTATAAGGTATTTACTCCTAACATAACTAAACAAGTAGTCTTTTCCTTTATTTTTGTTAATAACTTTACCCTCATCTCTTTAGGTAAGTCTCATATATCACTGTCTGTCTAGTATAAAAAGATAATTTACCATATTATTTATTTCAAAGATCATAACACTAATACTTTGTTTCTGTTTAATAGTCATTCTTCTTTACTTTTACTATGTCTATCTCCCAATCTCTTGCATAAGAGAGGATGCTACACTAGACTAGCTACTAGTATATAGAATGCGTAATCCTAGTACTATTTTTTATTGAAACCAAAATAAAAACATTTTTTTGAAACATTTTTTTTGAAACACATTTTTTGAAACCCTATAATTGCAATTATTAGACCCCCCATTTTTCAGATTTTTTGTATCCATCCTTTTTTCCATTTGCGGTAAATTCGAGCGGACACTTCATATTCCGCTTTAGGAAATTTTAGTCAGGCCAACTTTAAATCTAGCTTCGACATTGAGTTTAAAAAAATCTCAGTGGGTGTGTAGCTCAAAGGAGGAATAGATAATGGACAAACTGATAAAGAAGATTAATTATCCATTTGAAAATAAAAAAAGTAGAAATAAAAGAAAAGAAAGCAAAAGAAAACAAATAAACATAATATTTAAACAAAATAAAAGTCATCAACAAAACTTTTCTGTGACGTAGCACGTAACTAAGCCACACGAATCATATTATTTATAAGATTATAATACTTAAAACAGATACAATAAACTTTATAATTATGTTTTTTCTATCAATTTGTGACATTATGTGACAATCAAACTGAATCTATATAGCGTACTGTCACAGCATTGTTTTAGGTATATGCACGTCACAAGATGTCACAAAGTGATAAAGAAAACAAACTTTAAAATGATTAATAATAATGATTTAAATATATTATATTTCACTAAGTATTTATATGTCTTTTGTGGGAATTGAACTAGTGATCAACAGATTGCACTACAGCAGGATGAATAGCAGTTGGGCCGAAAGTAGGCACATAACTGCCATTTTTTTGGTCGAAACCCAATAAAATCTCCGCTGTTTGTTGTAAGATGGTAATGTCATTTGTAGCAATTTAAAAAAGTAACATGAAAACACTTTTTTTGTTGCTGTACAATATTTTCAATACTGTAAAAAATATTTGTAAGTTGTAATGACCACTTTGAGTATTGAAATATATGTTTTATTGAATATCAAAGATGTCAACAATTATTAAGATTAATAATTTTTGGAATGTGTGAACGAAATGGTAACATAACTGCCATTTTTTTATTTTTTAAACTACGTTCTTTTTTTTTAGATATTCTTTTTATCTTGATGAATTGGCAATTTGATGTTATTTAAATCGCGTAATGGCATATAGAACATATAGAGAATGAAGAGAAAAGCATAAGGTGTATAGAGATTAAAAAAAACATAAGAAATAGAGAAAATTAAAAAAAGAATATAAGATACAAGGATGATATAAAAAATATAAAAGATATAAGGATATAGAGCATATAGAAAAATAAGATAAAAATAAAAAGGATTACAGAATGGAAAGATTGCCTTTAGTAATGCGCATGTTGTTGTTAAAGATATAATAGGGCGCAATTACATAAAACTGGTTTCCATTCGGTGGGTATTGGACCAGACCAACTTGATGACAAATGTCATTTACACTTATAACTGCATAAGTTGGTTGCGTTTGGTGGCCTAGTGTACGGGTGCTTTGTGACCGTTGTTTGACGATAGGTACTGATGAGTCATGACCAGCCGCGTCATGTTCCTTCATGACCTCCACGAAAGCAAGAAAGTGTGGGAAGCCATAGAAATCTACATGCTGAAAGTAGAACTGTACTGTACCGACGAGCCAGCTGTGAACAATTACATTACGGTTGCTAAAATAAATAAATAAATAGAATGTAAGCAACTTTTGATTGTATATTGAAAAATATTATACTTACTTTCTATAGGGGCAAGTAAACATCACGTAATGGTTGCCATGGCTGGTCTCGTTTTTCTTTCTTCGGTACATGCATGAGGAATATACAGTCAAGTCCATCCACAGACGTGCAGCTACAATAACAACAGAGTCACCAAACTCGTGGCCAGTCAAGCCTGTTGTTCTCCAGTAGTATTTCAATAAAGCTTCCTTCACACTAGGGCCACCTACACCTTCCACCAAATCATCGTTCAAATTAACAAACTGATGAAACGGCTCCCACAACTGCGCACCACTAGGATCATTAGGAAGGTTCATGTAGCTCTCTCTTCCATATGGCTTTGGCCGAATGAGGTTGATTTCATCACAGATGCTGATTGCCGTGCTGGTATAATTGTGAATCGCAAATCGCTCGACAAGAAAACTGGCGTTTCGGCCACCCTTTGATTTGGACTTTATCAATTTCGAGAAGATGCCAATTACTCTCTCCATTGAGCAAGTGGAGTAGCATCGCAGAGGGCCTTGCTGCTTGATGATATAGGGTATATGGACCAGGTAATGTTGCACTGGTTGGAAAACACTACGAGACAGGGTATTATCCTGGACTTGTTGGTATAAAAACGAGTGCCAGTGCTTGAAGTATTTATTATTAATATTTAAAAAATGGTAACAATCAGCTATTTGTAATGATAATATATGAGATGTATAATAACTTACGACTCCATCTCATCAAGCAATTCTGATGTCAACGTCCATTGCAAGGCAAGCACGCAACCTTTCACGAGAGATAATAGAGCCGTTTTGACAGCCCTATTTGGTAAATAAGGCACGACCAAAGTGGGGACAAGGTATAAGAGAAAGTCAAGCCAGTCCACTGCGCGAGTACCATCGATATTGGCAAATACGTTGTCGAAACTGCCTTGAAATGAGGTGAGTATATATTTTCGTGAGCTGGTGATACAGTTTCCGATTGTTACAAGGTCTGCTCTTGGTATATGAAAAGGGTATTCGGTGGTATTGAGGGTATTGTCTGGATGGGTATAAAAAAATTTGGTTTCCTTTGTGAGGGTGATGGTAATCAGGTCATACACAAGCTTTCCAATCCCTCTTGCAATTAAATGAAGTTCATCTAATGCAAAAAATGATGATCCAGAGAAGGTTGAGAGTTGGGTATATATGCTCGGCTGGTATATGTTCTTCGACTATTACAAGCAGTTATTTAGTATGAAAAAAAGATGGCTAATTGAACATTTGTATACTTACAGGGTTGCCTACTTTGAAGTCTTCCAAAGGTCTTAACTGGGCAGAAATGTCATCAAAGTACATGTCATGCCATCTGTTAGTAGGGCATTTGCCTTTGGTCTCACAAAAACGGCAACCAAATAAACTTGTATGGGAACCAATGTGGGCCATATCAGCTACAGCTGGAATATTGCCAGAAGCAAGCAGAAGATAGACCTTGGATCTGCAAAGCTCCACTCCATTGTGCTTGACAACCAAGCCATGTGCCTCAAGATCTCGCAATTCATTGATGATGGGTATAAGAAAGGAGTCCAAATGAGTTGGCTTCTTGGGGCCAGGCAAGATTGCCAGTTGCAAAAGGTATTTGTTAGTATATCTAAGTATTTTATTAGTAATTTTTTTTTTAAAAAATGTAATAATAATAATAAATAGTAATAAATTAATTAATTACCTGATGGATGGGTCTAGGTTGAATATTATGCAATGGATGATGGTATATGAGTTTTTGCCTTTCTTTTGATTGACAAACCCATTGGTATAAAGCCCAATGGCAATATCATCGGGATTGGAGAACAGGCCCTGCTGCACCAACTGCTTGTAATTGTCACCATCAAAAATGTTGGTTAGCTGACCAGCTACAGATTCCCGGTTTGCTCTGTAACAGAGGAGTTCTCTTGTGGCTGGATCTGCCAACATTTGAGAAAGCATATCCCCAACTGACATAAGTTTCATACTGGCGGCTGGTGTCTGACTTTGATTGGGATCAGTCTTGTATCGCGGTTTGCCACAGTCAACACAAGATTCCTGGTCGTCATTAATGCCATATAATCGACAACCACTAGAGCAGACATCATACTCATGGCCCTTGACACTTGACTTTGACTTGAGCAAAGCATCAACAGTTTCGCCATGACTGATCTTAGCCCCACGTTCTAAAAAAAACGATATCACTACATGTTAGTGATCTGGAATTAAAGTACAAGGTAACAGAAAATATAATATTTTACCCATCATTATATCGTCATGGTCTCGGATGACAGTGTTTATAAATTGAACAATATCTCTATATGCTGCTCTAGCAATTCTATGCTGTAGCATCAATTGAGACAGATGAATACTCATCAACTCGGCCTTGGTAAAAGTATTTGTACTGACTTGGCTGCTGTCGTAAATGTGAGCTTCACCCTCACTGTCCTCAAAATTACATGCGCACTTATATGAAATAGTATTATCAAGCTCCATAGACTCCATAGTATATTCTGTAATACATTATTTAGTAATTGGAAAATAAATAATACAATTACAGCTCTTTTCATTACCTGAATTGCTAACAGATTCATCTTCATTACTAGTATCATTTTCGTCATGGTACATGTCAACATCATCCAGAATAGACTGGTCAATTTCAGTCATTGTTGCTGAATCTCCTCTGTGAATTCTCTTG